TATGCTGGGTGGAGTGCAGTAGATCTTCACACTGATTTCAGATTGATGAAGACCTGTCTTGCTGTCTTTCCGATGCTGGCTGCTTTGACATCCTCATCTGTGCTGCCGCCTGTAGTTGAAACGATGATGCCCTGCGTAGGTAGGTGAAAGAGACTACTTCGTTTAGGTTTCTCCCGTTGATGGTGATTGGTGCTAGTTGTAGTTGTTGTTGTTGGTTGGGTATCTTCATCACCTCTGTCTTCTCTACGTTCGCCTGAAGGAAGGAAGTCCTGTCTTCTCTGCCTCTTCTGACAACTTGTTAGTTTTCGCCTGTAGATCTTCGAGTTTTTGTGCAACAAGACATTATATGTCAATCATTGGCGGCGAAATCCAAATCTTCTAGGCTATTTCGATCGGTTCAGCGTATAGCCATCTTCTCACTCCCCACAGTTTGTTGCATGATCCAGTCTGGTTAACCACAATCAGGAAGATTATGGATGGTAGTAGGCAACGTTGCCTTACTTCTGTCTTCACTTCAAAGGCGTTGCTGAGCTTTCCATTGTGGATCACTTGGCACGTGGCGTCTTCATATAACTGTTGAATGGTTTTGATAAAGGTTTGTGGCACTAAAACCGTAGTGTTGAAGCGGCTGCTAAGTTACTTCTCGGTCGAGCTGTCGGAGGCCTTTTCGAAGGCGATGCTCTATTCCATGTTGATGCGTAGCGTTGCAGTTTGATCCGCACATGATTTGTTCTTCCTGAAGCCAGGCAGGCAGCCTGTTGTGGTCGTAGTTTTGAATCCATCGCATCCTTTAGTCTCTCCAGGATGATGCGGCTCAATATTTTGCTTGTTGCGGGTGGACAGGAGCATGATTCCACGCCAGTTCTTGCAAACACTTAGGTCGCCCTTGTTCGGGAGTTTGACAAGTTAGCTTTTCTTCCACTCGGCAGGTACCTTTCCTTTCTTCCAAACCTTCTGCAATAGTGGTGTGAGCATGTCCGCTGTCGCCTCAGTGTCTGTTTTCAGTGTTTCTGGTGGAATTCTATCTGGTCCTGGTGCTTTCCCGGATTTCAGTAATTTTATGATGTTCAGGACTTCTGGTTTTGTCAGAGGGTTTGTTTTCACTGATATTTTTGTGACTGGGCTGGTGGTTGTATTTGTGGACGAATTCCGGGTGGTGGTTGATTCAAGAGTGTTTTGAAGTGGTCAGCCCATCGTTTCCTTTGTTCCTCCCCTTTGGTAACTAAGTTTCCTTCACTTTCATCTTTCGTTGGTTTCATTTGTGTTGATCTCTTCCCAGATAGTGAGTAGCCTGGTTATTTGATGTAATGTTGTCAGGTGTCTGTCACTGCTACCGGCAGCCTGTTCTACTTCGCTTCCCAATGTTTCGTAGAGGTGTTTTTTGTCTTTGCACGCAGTCTTCTTTACTTCTTTGTCCAATGTAGTGTTTTATGGATTGTGTTCAGTTCCTCTTTTCATCGTTTATCCCTGCACTGCACTGGTTTATCTTCTTCTTCACCATCCTCCTCTCCTCTCCTCTATCAGCTTCTGTGTGTCCATGGAGATACATTCCTTATTTTCTTTCTTCTTGCTTCCTAACACGGTTGTGCAGGTTTCTTTCCATATAGTTTTCAAAGAGTTCCAGTGCTCATCCACACTGGTTTCTTCAGGGATATTTCTCGATATCTCACATTTTGTGTTGATGGCTGCTGTGAAGATTTTCTTTGTAGTTTCGTCCTTCAGTTTCCGAGTGTTGAACTTTAGCTGTGGTCTATCACCAGCTTCTTTGAATTGAGGGCTTTCAACTTGATTTAGAAGGTTCCTTGCACTAGGAAGTGAGTGGTGTGAACGTACATCTGCTCCTCTTCTTACCTTGTGTTCGGTAGACTGCGTCTCCACTGTCTTGAGATTGAGATGAAGTCGATCTGATTTTTAGTGTGTCCTGATGTCTGGTGAAATCCATGTTGCTTTGTGAATATCCTTGTGTTTGTACACACTGCCTCGAATCACCAAATCGTTGAGTGCGCAGAAGTCTGCAAACAGTTCTCCATTCGCATTCATTTCACCGAGTGCTTCTCGACCCATGATGAGTTCTCTTTTTGTGTTGTCTGCACCCAGTTTGGTATTCATGTCACCCATCAGAATGAATTTTGATGTCGTCAACTGGAGTCTTGTCGAGTGTTGATTGAAGTTGTCTATAGAATTCCTCCTTCCTCTCTTCATCTGCATTATTTGTAGGTGCGTAGTATTGGCATTGTATGATTGTCTCTTGTTTCTTTTTGAGTTGAATCTTGCTGTCATGATCCTACAGGAGGAGATTGGTTCCCACTGAATGAGAGCCTTTGATGCTCTTGGGAGTGGGACATTATGATAGCCACTCCGAAACTCAGTGTGCTCATGGTTGTCGTCTGGGTGACAATGTCGGAGTAGATTATTGACTCTTCTCCAGTTGACAGTTTGGAGAGTCCACTTCTATCCCATCTGCTTATCCCTCGCATATTTGAAGCACTTTCATGCTATACCTTCTGATGTCTTTTGCAATGAGGGTAGCTTTGCTAGGTTCATACATGGTGTGGACATTCCATGTCTCCATGTTTACTTTCGCTTTCATCGAGAGAAGAGAAGATGCGTCGGCCAATCGGGCTTCCCGAAGTCTTTCACCAACTGGCGTCATTTTGCCTCTTCGATTCCAGCGAGGAGTAATTTTGTTTTATTTTTTGTATTTTGTTTGTGCTTTGAAGTTTCTTTAGTGGTTGTATTTGTTTTCCGGGGTAGGGTTGCTAGCCCTACTTCCAACCTTCCCTCTTTGTCCGGGCTTAGGATCGGCTAGTAACTAGGAAACTAGTTAAGCAAGCGAGGTTGTTAGGCAATCTACCGAGAGATTATTACATTATTCTGAAGGTGGAACCTAATTTTTGATATTTTTAAAACCTTGATATGATCCACATCTTATGGATTATCTTTTGTGTTAATTTTATTTGCCCATGACACCAAATTAGACAATGAATGCGATTCCAACAAACTGTCGTTTATTTAATGTATGAATTTTGAAGTGTATTCATCCTTTTTATAATATATTATAACTGTATGTTCAACGTCTATTTGCAACAGGCTTTGAATTTTGCATTAAACTGCTTTTGACAGTCACTACAAAAACAAATATAGTACGTCCGGATGTGAATCCATTCAGGTTAATGGATACGACATAATCTTGATCAAAGGAATATTTTGAGCATTAAGGGCAAAACATTGTGACATTAAATAGTCTTCAGTCATATCTGTCATGAAGTACTAAAACTTAGCTTCTTTTTTTCAGTAGGTATCTACAATGTATGTCTACCATTTCACTGAAAACTGTACGCCATTTCAATTACTAGAATGTGTTTCACTCAGAGTAATTATTAATACCCAGCGAATTATTTTGACTAAGACTGTTAACATACAGTCAAAAATGGAATGAAAACATAATGAATTGTATTATGGTGTCATACTGTACACGCTGGTGTATTGAACTTTAAGGATATTTAAGGATTATCATGTAAACCTCATTTACTAATTGGAGATCTGTAACAGTTTTCCTTATTTCCGCTGATACCATTGACTTGACAAAGAATACATTTTCTAAAAATGCTATTTTAATGTTTGGTGTGTTTTAGTCACATAGTGTTGGCATGAAATGCAGAGGAATTAACATTACAAGTCTGTATGTCAAGTGTATTCATCTATGAAGTCGTAGTTTCTGCTAATCTGAATGACTCGTTTGTTACACTAAACTTATTTTCGTTAATTAAATATCTGAAGATCAATGATAATGAAAAAAAGAAACTAAAACAAGGAATATATTCGTCATGAGGCCTATAACAACAAGATTATTTAAAAGAGAAAACCTTTCAAGCATGCTTAATTAGTTTACAGGACTAATTGACTAACAACAGTTCATATATATATTATATAGGTTAAAGATTTTCTGCAGATTTGATTTTAAGTGTCTAACACTGAAATATAGCGTATGGTATTTTTTTAAAGTGGTGGTATACAGTGGGGGGACGAGGATATTCTTTCATACATATGTGCATTGATATCCTGACATAGAATCCATCACCTGATATAGAATAGTGTTATCGGTTGGTTCATTTGTTCAGTGGATTTAGCTTCTATTGAACTACAGTTCATCAATTTAGGCTGAAACCAACCCTACCTACCTTTGCCACATATATATAACTAATAGACAAATCCTTTAATAAAGTTTTTTTAAACCTAGACATTGCTTCCCAGTTAGATTATAATCATAACCATCTAATTAGTTGAATATCATTACAGAACAATATGGGTGATATCTATCAGAAGTGTGCTAAACCTTGCAAATATTTGTTTTACAGATATTTCATTTATGTTGTGTGGCTTGGTGACTTCTCACTCCATAAGATGCATTCAGTCGTCAGTATGAAGTACTGTTTGTAAAATTATGATAAATTACTATTTAAGTGTTTTTTATTTCCTAGTTTGTTTTTGGATAGTGATATTTATGCATTCAGTAACATATATATTAATCGTTGCAATAATACTGGAACTCTGTAATTACCTACAAATTTGTGTACTGTCTTCTGAGTTACCTTTTATCGTGTGAGAACCTGGGAACCACGTATAAGATGTCAAGGTTTCAAGCTGACTACTCCATCATATATGCAGGAAATAAATTACCTTAAATTGTTATCTTCATGATATTCCTTTAACAACCATTCACTTGTGTCAATCACCCATATAACATATTTAGATAATCACTGGTTATGTGAATTAGCCAGTTAGTTTGCGGAGTTACAGGTCCCTTCTTCCAGCTACACACATACTTAAATCTTTGTACAGATTGTTCCTATAATTGATATTCATGATTGCATACTCCATCTATCTTCCAGACTCTGAGGAAATCTATGACTAACATATTTGGTACTATTTGTAATTTTTATCTTTATTTTCCAGTCAGATAATCGAAACTGATCTATGAAGTGTGCTTTTGCTTTCAGGTTGGCTCGAACCTCTTTTAGATCGTATTGCCTATAATTCATCAATTGTCGTTGTCCCAGTTATATCGACGATAAACGATAAAACTTTGAAAATACATGTAACTAGACCTCGAGATGTTCAAGTTGGTGGTTTCGATTGGAGCTTGACATTTCGATGGCATGAACAACCTTTACGTGATAAACAGAGACCTGGTGCACCATATTCACCTGTCAGGTAGGTGACTGGCTTTGGATCCATTATATTACTTATTTTTAAAAAGACTTATGTTTCAAAGATTACGTACGTAAAGCCAATCTTAAAAAAAATAATCCAGCGATTATGAGTTCTTCTTCTTGGATTTCGGTGGTAAATCGGTTGAGTGAGCTTTTTTTTCTCATTTCGCGGTATTAATGCCCTTTGGCCTATGAATTCAGCAGTTACATAGATTTCTCTTTGCACGAACAAAACTGAGCCTTACACATCCGCTATTAAGAACTTATTAACTACCTACCAGCCTGCATACTACTTTTTCTTAAGAAGTTATTTTCTGAGTGTCAAATTATAACTGTTTTACCTGAATCATATACTTGTGTAGTAGTCTCTGTTATATCTCAGAATGGTTATTGAGTCTTGGCCATTACTGAAAAACGTATATTTTTAGCAGTTTAGTAGTTCAATATTCATGCAGTTCAGCTTCTCTGCAGTTATCACTCAATTGTAATGTGTCAACAATATCAAATTTTGAGGTAGCCTAGGTTGGGTAGAAATACTCTCCAGTGTCTTAATCATTCGATGTTCAAGCAGTGAGTCCTGTGTTTAAATCTCTCTCAAACTATATCGGTGTAGGAAAACGTGTTCACTCCTATGGAGTTTGCTATACTATTTTTCTTCCATTTGTAGTCTATTATTAATTATTCTGACTAGTATTATTTGTCTTTTCGGTTCCTAGTGAAACATAAAGCTTCAGCATCACGTCGTCATTGTACTCTCTTCTCTGCAGTCTTTTGAACCTGGCTCCACGACTGCCCTTAAACTTTCATTTCTTCGTCACATGATCTCTATGTCACCCTCAGACGTCCAGCTCGTCGTTTCCCATGCATGGTTCCACTCGAGGACCTGGCGCGTGATGTACCCAGTCGGCCTTCTCAGTGTATGTCCTGTCCAATCCATGTCCACTTTCTCCTGCATATTTGTTGCGTGGTAGGTTCTTGGTTGGTTGGTTGGTTACCAGAGTGAGTTTCTTGTTGCTTATTATTTGTGGCCATCTGATCTTGAGTATCGAGCCAGCGTAGGCGACTGTTGATGAATGTTTGTAGTTTGTTGGAAATGCTTTTCGTGACGCGCCAAGTTTCTGAACCAAATGGAACCACTGACTTGACTGACACAAGTGTTGAAAATCCGTATGTTGTTCACGCTTTATGCTGGGTGGAGTGCAGTAGATCTTCACACTGATTTCAGATTGATGAAGACCTGTCTTGCTGTCTTTCCGATGCTGGCTGCTTTGACATCCTCATCTGTGCTGCCGCCTGTAGTTGAAACGATGATGCCCTGCGTAGGTAGGTGAAAGAGACTACTTCGTTTAGGTTTCTCCCGTTGATGGTGATTGGTGCTAGTTGTAGTTGTTGTTGTTGGTTGGGTATCTTCATCACCTCTGTCTTCTCTACGTTCGCCTGAAGGAAGGAAGTCCTGTCTTCTCTGCCTCTTCTGACAACTTGTTAGTTTTCGCCTGTAGATCTTCGAGTTTTTGTGCAACAAGACATTATATGTCAATCATTGGCGGCGAAATCCAAATCTTCTAGGCTATTTCGATCGGTTCAGCGTATAGCCATCTTCTCACTCCCCACAGTTTGTTGCATGATCCAGTCTGGTTAACCACAATCAGGAAGATTATGGATGGTAGTAGGCAACGTTGCCTTACTTCTGTCTTCACTTCAAAGGCGTTGCTGAGCTTTCCATTGTGGATCACTTGGCACGTGGCGTCTTCATATAACTGTTGAATGGTTTTGATAAAGGTTTGTGGCACTAAAACCGTAGTGTTGAAGCGGCTGCTAAGTTACTTCTCGGTCGAGCTGTCGGAGGCCTTTTCGAAGGCGATGCTCTATTCCATGTTGATGCGTAGCGTTGCAGTTTGATCCGCACATGATTTGTTCTTCCTGAAGCCAGGCAGGCAGCCTGTTGTGGTCGTAGTTTTGAATCCATCGCATCCTTTAGTCTCTCCAGGATGATGCGGCTCAATATTTTGCTTGTTGCGGGTGGACAGGAGCATGATTCCACGCCAGTTCTTGCAAACACTTAGGTCGCCCTTGTTCGGGAGTTTGACAAGTTAGCTTTTCTTCCACTCGGCAGGTACCTTTCCTTTCTTCCAAACCTTCTGCAATAGTGGTGTGAGCATGTCCGCTGTCGCCTCAGTGTCTGTTTTCAGTGTTTCTGGTGGAATTCTATCTGGTCCTGGTGCTTTCCCGGATTTCAGTAATTTTATGATGTTCAGGACTTCTGGTTTTGTCAGAGGGTTTGTTTTCACTGATATTTTTGTGACTGGGCTGGTGGTTGTATTTGTGGACGAATTCCGGGTGGTGGTTGATTCAAGAGTGTTTTGAAGTGGTCAGCCCATCGTTTCCTTTGTTCCTCCCCTTTGGTAACTAAGTTTCCTTCACTTTCATCTTTCGTTGGTTTCATTTGTGTTGATCTCTTCCCAGATAGTGAGTAGCCTGGTTATTTGATGTAATGTTGTCAGGTGTCTGTCACTGCTACCGGCAGCCTGTTCTACTTCGCTTCCCAATGTTTCGTAGAGGTGTTTTTTGTCTTTGCACGCAGTCTTCTTTACTTCTTTGTCCAATGTAGTGTTTTATGGATTGTGTTCAGTTCCTCTTTTCATCGTTTATCCCTGCACTGCACTGGTTTATCTTCTTCTTCACCATCCTCCTCTCCTCTCCTCTATCAGCTTCTGTGTGTCCATGGAGATACATTCCTTATTTTCTTTCTTCTTGCTTCCTAACACGGTTGTGCAGGTTTCTTTCCATATAGTTTTCAAAGAGTTCCAGTGCTCATCCACACTGGTTTCTTCAGGGATATTTCTCGATATCTCACATTTTGTGTTGATGGCTGCTGTGAAGATTTTCTTTGTAGTTTCGTCCTTCAGTTTCCGAGTGTTGAACTTCAGCTGTGGTCTATCACCAGCTTCTTTGAATTGAGGGCTTTCAACTTGATTTAGAAGGTTCCTTGCACTAGGAAATGAGTGGTGTAGACTGCGTCTCCACTGTCTTGAGATTGAGATGAAGTCGATCTGATTTTTAGTGTGTCCTGATGTCTGGTGAAATCCATGTTGCTTTGTGAATATCCTTGTGTTTGTACACACTGCCTCGAATCACCAAATCGTTGAGTGCGCAGAAGTCTGCAAACAGTTCTCCATTCGCATTCATTTCACCGAGTGCTTCTCGACCCATGATGAGTTCTCTTTTTGTGTTGTCTGCACCCAGTTTGGTATTCATGTCACCCATCAGAATGAATTTTGATGTCGTCAACTGGAGTCTTGTCGAGTGTTGATTGAAGTTGTCTATAGAATTCCTCCTTCCTCTCTTCATCTGCATTATTTTTTGTGCGTAGAATTGTATGATTTTAACTTTGTGATGTGTTGAATTAGATTTCAGTGAACTTATGTGACCATTTCATCTTTACCGGCATTTGTCATGGTATTTCATGACTGGTTCTTAGGCTTACGTCTTTTTGTGAATTTGTGAATATCGTCCTCTTCTCCAATTAATTTGTTTTATAGTGTATTGTAATTTTATGGTTTGTGCGCATCGAACTACTTTTTACTTGTTCATTTTATTTGATATTTGAATCATTCCATAGATCTTATTTCATTTTAGTTATTCTAGCATTGTCGATGAAATCAAAACGTGGTGTCACTCGCACTGTTTTAATTTCAGAAAAACAGGTTTAACGAGACGTAATTTCATCCTTCTATTTAAACTGACTTTGTTATTTTATTGTCATTGTGATCCAATTAACGCTAACTTGGTTTGATTTGTAAAATAGTCTATAAATTATTAATCTCAATTAGTGTTAGTTAACCATGTTTGGAGGAAGTATCTGGTAATTTTTTGGTATTCTCTGAGCTCTGAGGTTTGGTTTTTGGACTTACATCGCCATCCTAGGCTACTTCATAAAGAAAGATGTTTGCGTCTACAAAGTGCCGAGCACTTGTCGGGAAGCTTAGTATTGCGTTCACGAACACGAGCTAGCCTATGTTCATATGTAAGCATAAGATTATCCCTGTAAAATCTGACTCGTCTGAAATTATGGTTTCACCTCCGACCAGATCATTCAAAAGAAACAAGGATAAGACATTCGTGGACAGTTGGAACGTTTAGCATTTCACAGTTTCAAGCCGTATATATATCCATAAGAGGAACTTGTCAAGTCCTTTTCCTGTCGTATTTTGCATGACTTCACGTTTTTTTCTTTTGGTGCTTTCCTAATTTCCTTCTCTTAATCCATCACCTTCCTATATCACTTAGACTATCTCACTTGTTACAAACCATCTTCTCATTGTCTTTCTAAACTCATTCCCAATGCTCTTTTGTTTTTGATCCCTAATCGAAAATTCATCTGGAACTGTCTATTTTTTCATCATATAAGTGTGAAGGTATGAAAATCCGTCATAGAAAACCCAAATGTACTCACTGCATTCATCTGCTTTTGCTACTTTTTGCGTTGTTATCTCATATGTATTCTGCGGATGCAATTGAAAAGCTCATCATTATATTAGCTTTAACTGTCACTTAGTTCTACTGCATCAGCATAGTGGTATCTCCTATTCATTGTATGTCTATATCTGCTTCAACATAATTAAGTATGCTGGGCACAAAAGTATTTATTCAAGTCTCACTCACTTTTATGATATAGTACCCCTTTTAATTCAATGGGTTATCTTCGTTCGTGTGTGTGCGTGCGTGCTCTGTAGGTGACTGTGCTGCATAAATCCCGCGCCTCAGTTTATGTAAAATGTTAGTGAACATTTTACCATTTATCATTACAGTTAAACATGTCTTTTATTATGTATATTTAAGATAGACTGGTTTCTTTTTAATTCATGCGTTTATCCTGGTTAAATAGTTATGCAATGCGACAACTATATAAAGTAACCTAAAAGCCATACACTTTGTTTTACCTGATATTACCAACTCCGCCTAACGGCCGGAAACATTCAACAACAGTTCTACAACCACAAC